TTGTGCATATGATTTATGTTTCGTAATGACCTTGTTATGAGGTCATGGGTTTTATGCATATAACTCTGTAGAGTCATATGATTTGTTTATTGTATTATGATTGGTTTATGAGTTTTTGCACATGACCTCGCTATGAGGTCATAGGTTTTAAGCATGTGACCACTTTGGTCACATGACTAGTTTGTTATGATTTGGTTTTGCACATGTGACCACTTTGGGTCACATGACTATGGGCAGGAAGAATACTATATAAGAAGGCCGATGCAACCGAGGAGGATAGGTTCTTCACGCTTTGTTCTAAGTACTTTTCCTCGTCCTTGCCATCGCTTCGCCCCGAGCGTTTCTTTCGCACCTATGGTGGGCCTTGATGCCTTAGATTCTGGGGGAGATATCTGAGTTCACTCAGTAGTTCCTGGGGTCTTTGGTGCTGAGGTCTGTTGGCGTTGCGTAGCGGATTACTTGTTTGCTTCTCATTTCGTTGCCTGCTGGACATCTCACGATACTGGCACTTCGAGCTACTCATCACGGTCGCTTACGAGCCCCTTTTAGTAAAATGTCTTCAACTTCCTGTCTATCTTCTACTCGCAGGTTTCAAGTTCGATTGTGGGAGATTGAACATTGTGTTTGGGGGGATCACCCATGTCATTCTTTGGGCCAGCTCATGTTTCTTATTGGGTTTTAATGGAGTCCTTAGTTCTCATGATACAAAACACCCTTAGGTTAGACTGATGACCATCCCAAGTTCAACTCATCGTATGGACCACATCATTCCTCAGGTGGCAGGGCAGTGCCTGCCCAGCCCCTCTCTGTTACGTTACCTTTCTACGGTCAGAATCCTACGATGTTGTTTATCACCATTTCCTTGGAAATTTTGTCCTTGTGGTTTTTATGGTGGTTTATTCAAATGTCTTCTCCTCGCCTTAGTGGGGATAGCTTTGACCCTGAAAAATCTTACCCCCTGATGTGGTTTTTCATTGCTACCTGGAGTGGTGTGAGACAATTGGCTACCAGCCACTTGTGTTGTCTGTGTATTTGGGTAGTTCGGTTGTGGACTGTGGTTAGCAGCTTCACCCATTGCAAGTGGTACCTACCTTCTCTTCGTCTACTTCTGTTCGCTCACCCTCCTCCTTCCTGTCGTATCGGTTGGGGGCGCCTCTTGCCTATTATTTGGTCTGGTTTTTTCGTACCTGTGGGGCTGGCTTTAGCTGGCTCTACTTACTCTTTCCTGACTCGGTTGGACTTCGGTTTGGCTGAGTTGGACAGTGTGGCTGGTGCTGGTACCTCCGGGTACTGGTGCTGCCTCCTTTGTGGCTACCGGCTGTAGCTGGGGGCCTCCCTCAGCTGTACAATGTTGGGGGTTGGGGTTCTGTTAGCACAGCTAAGACCAGTGGCTGCCTGATAGGGCTAGGTATAGGCTGTCCTCTAGCTATCAGATGGTTGATCTGACTGAGGGGTTGGGGGGCTGGATGGGCTCTGTGGCATCTAGCGTGTGGGGCTTGGAGGGGGCTGATTAGGGGGAAAGAGGCACCTGCAAGTACCGGTCGGGCCTGTGTCAGGTTAGGCGAGGTCTAATTAAGTGTTTCCAGTCCAGCTTGGGCTGTTGGGTGAAGCTGCTGAGTGCTGTAAAGCTCCTCCATGGACTGGTTAGCTGATGGCCACCTGTGCAGATAGTGGGTTGCAGCCATCTGGTTGGACTTGTTTGGGTCTTGCGTGCTGTATTTTTTGTAGAGTTTATTTGGTTTCTTTGGTTTGGCTATGGGTTTGGCAGGAGGAGACATGGTACCACAGGTGGGAGATAGGGCCCACTGACCTTTGTGGTCTGTCACTACCTCTATGTATTTCTTTTGTTTAAATGTGGTTTTATTTGAGGGGCAGACAGCAGGTACAGGTCTTCCTCACCAGTACGCTCTTCAGAGGCAACTGGCAAAGTGAGTTTATAGGGTCGACGGCCTGGCATGCAGGTGCGAGAGATGGACATGTGGGTCGCCTCTTCCTTGCCCTTGTACCACCTGTAGGTTTAGTTTAGTTTATATTGGTTTTCTACTGTAGTGGAGGTTTCGCGGGACCATGTTTAGACCGGGTGGTAGTGTTTTATATTTTGTTGGACGAGGAACCTGGTTGGATTGGTCTTTTGCTCGGCTTCAGCTATGCTTAGTACTGGTTGGCTTCATACCAGAGGGGCTACAGACTTTAACCGGAGCGGGTGCTGGGTTGTTTGATGGTCTTGTAATTAGTTTCCGTGTAGGCATGACTCGGGGATGGTAGGTGCGGGGCCATAGACTTAGTTAGCTTAGGATTAGTGATATACCGGTTAGCAGTATCCCTGTGCCGGCGGGAGCTTGTCGTATGCCAGTGTTGGTGGTACGAGGTTAAATAAAATTAGATTAACAAATATAAAACACCTTTACGATCTTTATCTTTATTGCAACATTATCATTACACCAAGGAAAGTTCTTCACGAAGAAGAATTAGAGAAAGCTTACGATAGGCATTCCCAATAGAAGACAAAGGTCTTGTACTGTCGGTAACGTAGGGAGAGGCCTAGTGCTATCGTAAGACTATGGAAAGAAATAGAAGAAGCAGAAAAGTATCATTCCCTATCGCCAGGAACTAACTATCCAAGGAGGGATTGTTACATTACAAAGCATCACCTAGTGTGATGCTAAACAATACAAGACAGCATCCTTCAACCCAGACAGGAAAGGAGATATCAACATCGTCGATCAAAACCTTAACCTAGGGGGATTCAGCAATGCCCTAGATCATGTTTCAGCAGAGCCCTCAAGGGCAGCAAGTCCAGTAACCCCAGAGAAAGGATCACCAGTTGATAGCTCTCCTGCAGGAACTCCACGACCCGAGAGAATGTTGGAATCAGCAGTATCTGGGCCACCGGCCCCAGCCGCCCCCATACCAGGTACTAGCATACTTGGAATGACTAAGAATCAATTTCAGACATTTCTAGTAGCAACACGAAATACAGGACAAGGAAATATCCAGTGACCGAAAGCAAAAGAACCCGACACATACAAAGGAGCTGAAGATAAGCTATGAATATTCATGGCACAATACGAAGGGTATTTTGCTGTTAAGGGATATGGAGAACACCACAATGAGATCAAGATTCCACATGTAGAATCTCTGCTAAGAGGACTCGCGGGACAATAGATCATGCCCTTCCAAGATGGAAGGAAGCAAAAAGAATGGGTCACATACAAGGAGTTCAAGGCGACACTCTTCGAACAATTCAGAGATCCCAACACCAAAGAGACAGCAAGACAAAAGCTGGAAAAACTCCAATAAGAAAAACAGACCTTTTCGGTATACTAGAATGAATGCTGACTATTGGAATACGAGGTAGAGTTTGATGATACTACTTTCTACATCATCCTTCTGAAAAACTGCAGTGAAAGACTCCAAGAAGCGTGGGGAATCTCTGACTCGCATTACACCACAGCAGAACGATTTGCAAGGTGGACTATCTATAAGGAAAGCAAGCTAAACATGGTTCGAAACAACTCGGAAAATACTATAGCACACAGGGCGGCCCAATCATCCAGGAATGTGGATAAAACCTTCAAACCACAAGCAGCTCAAGGTGAAAGTCCAGCATTACCACCAGGCAAGCCAATGGAGTTGGACAAATTAAGGGCAGGATCTGCTCTGAACCTGTCTAAGAAAGAATACGCTAGAAGAATGAACGGGAAACTCTGCTTAAGGTGTGGAAAAACAGGACATCGGATATGAGAATGCAGAAGCTGACCCAACAGTAGATACCAAGGCACTAGAACTGCTGCAAATAATCGCTTCCAAACTCAAAAGAGGAGCAACATTCGCGAAATAATCACAGAAGATATACCAGCAGAAAGCGATGGGGGCCCCCAGTAAACGGTGGTCTGGAAGACCCAAGATTTGGACATGGAAAACCCATCAAGTTAGCGAACTAGTACATAGCACTACACATGCAACGAGGAGAAGAAGATGGAGATCATGTAATAATCAAGACAAAGATACACAAAGAAAAAGGTAAAGAAACAACAATATATGTAATGCTCGACTCCGGGGCTACCCAAGATATCATCGATAAGGAAATCTGCGACAAATATGGCCTCCATACCAAAAATGTAAAGAAAGTGAGACACATCTACCTAGCAGATGGAAAGCCAAGCGCAATGGGTCCTATAACCCATACGGCGATAGTACCTATGAACATTGATAGCCATAGGAAAACGGCAACCTTTCAGGTAGCAGATCTCAAGAACCATGATATAGTCCTTGGGATGCCATGGTTGCAAAAACATAATCCAACAATCGATTGGAATGAGAACAAGATGACCTTTACAAGTGAACTATGTGCAACACGATGTCTCAACAGTTTGCCTGTGGTCTACTCGACACCAATTCGAGAAGCGTAAGAAGAAACTTTGTATGCAAAGTTTGCTGAGATGCAGCAAGATAAGAGAGTTTGGAAACAAAAACTGGACTAAGAGGTAAAAGTGCCTACCAAGGGTTCTAAAGAAGCAGCAGGACACGACCTGTAGGCCAACGAAGGAATCAAGATACCTGCCAACAGGTAGGTAATGATAGTAACAGGAATAGCCATCGGACTATCAGAAGGCACCTATGGGTGGATAGCACCCCAAAGTGGTCTAGCAGTCAAACATCGACTTATGACCATGGCGGGTGTGATCGACGCTGACTATACAGGTGAAATCACAGTGGTTTTGGCCAACCTAGTTCAAGAGGACTATGAAGTCCAGAAAGGCGATCGAATCGCACAGTTGATTATCGAAAAAATCAACAAAGAGGATCTACACGAAATAGATCAACTGGAAGAAACTACAAGGGGAGATAAGGGATTTGAATGCACAGACCAAAACTAGCCTGATACAACAAAAAGAATCGAGATCAAAGAAATCACGGCACAAGCCTTCAGACGGTACTATTGAAGAGGAGATACAACAGGAATTCTCAAATGGACATACAAAGACGAAAAAGCGGTCCTAGCAAAAATCAACATTAGTACAGAACTAGCAATCCAAGACAAGAAATACCAAAGCAAAAAAGAATGGAAAGAATTGGTTCCAAAGGAATATCATCAGTTCACGAATCTATTCCAAGAAGAGGAAGCTACGGGACTAGCACCCCGAAGACCTGGAATCAACCACGAAATTCAGCAGGACAAAGACAAGAAAACAGAAAAAATAAAAGAAATCCCCTACAAGAAGTTATACCTACTAGGACAAGCAGAGCTCAAAGAACTTAGAAAGTACATCGAGTAAAACCTAAAGCGAGGATGGATCAGAAACTCCTTCACATCAGGAAGATCTTCAATACTATTCGTCAAAAAGAAAGATGGAAAAATGAGACTCTGTGTGGACTACAGAACTCTCAATTTAGTTACCAAGAAAGATCGATATCCACTACCCTTAATTGAAGAAGCACTGGATAGACTACGGTTAGCAAAATACTTCACCAAGCTTGACATCAAGGATGCATACCACAATATACGCATCAAGGCAGGAGACCAATGGAAGACTACATTCGACTCGAGATACGAAATGTTCGTATACTTGGTTTTGCCTTTCAGGCTAACCAATGCACTAGCTTCATTCCAAAGATGGATCAACAGGGTACTCAATAAATACCTCAACATATATTGCATCGTTTACTTGGATGACGTACTCATCTACTCGGAGAACATGCAACAACACCAGAAGGATATCAGCAATATCATGGCTGTAATACAAGGATCAGGAATGAAGATCAAACCCACAAAATGCGAATTCCATAAAGAAGAAATGGAATACCTTGGATTTATCATCAATTAGAGTGGGGTCAAAGTCGACCCCGTCAAAATAACAGCAATATGGGATTGGGCCAAACCAAATAACAAAACAGATGTTCTATGCTTTATGGGATTCTGCAACTTTTATCGAAGGTTCATAGAGGGATTTAGTAGGCTTGCAAAACCACTCTATAACCTAACAAAGAAAGACAAGAAATAGGAATGGGGAGAAACGGAACAGAAAGCATATGATACAATATAAACGCATCTAACATCGGTATCCATACTGGTTCATTTCGACCCAAACTGAAGGACAATGATCGAAACGGACGCCTTAAAATATGTGTGCTCAGGCATACTATGGCAACAATACGAAGATGGAAAATGGAGGCCAGTGTCTTACCGATCCAAGACAATGACCCCCACAGAGTGCAACTACGACATTGCGAACAAAGAACAATTAGCGATAGTTCAAGCATTAAAGAAATGGAGGAGATATGTTCTAAACAACAACCATCCAGTCCGAGTTCTAATCGACCATAAGAATCTGGTCCTGTTCATGACTATGAAAGAACTGAATGACCGCCAGATAAGGTGGATGTAACACCTCAGCAAATATAACTTCAAAATCGAATACCAACCAGGTAAAGAGAGTGGAAAGCCAGATGCTCTTACAAGGATTGCAAGCGACAAACTACAAACAAAAGAAGACAAAAGAATCAAACAAAAAACACAAACACTATTACCAAAAACCTACTTCGAGGTAATAGAGGTTATCCAATTCACATCAATGGGGGAAAGGGAAATCGAGAAGGCAAACGAAAGAGACAAAACAATCCAGGCAATAAGAGAAGCATTGAAGGAAGGAAAAAAAGAGATGAAAGAAATTGCTCTAGGTTTATGCCAACGGGAGGATAGAAACATGTGGTATAACGGAAAACAATGGATTCCAGAAAAAGAAGAGATAAGGACAGACATCATACGACAACACTACGATATCCGAACAGCAGGATACAAAGGAACGGCTAAAACCACGGAATTCATCACGAGGTTATTCTATTGGCCAGGACTGCACGAAGATGTCAAACAATATGTCAAAAACTGTGACATATACCAAAGGACAAAAATGGCTAAATACGCACCATATAGATTACTGAAATCAAACAAAGTTCCCGAATGACTATGGAAAACAATTACTATGGATTTCACCACAGACCTACCGGCATCAGAAAATTGCGATAGCATCCTGGTCGTGGTGGATCGTCTGACCAAAATGAGTCATTTCATTCCAGTCAAAAAAGATATCGACACAAGGGATTTTATACAAACATTCTTCCGAGAAGTCTTCTGACTTCACAGCCTCCCAAAGAACATCATTACTGACTGAGGAATACTATTCATATCAGGACTATGGAAGAAAGTAATCAGAAAAATAGGGATACAAAACAGGCTGAGCATAGCATTTCACCCGTAAATGGATGGACAAACAGAATAGGTAAATGCGATACTCGAACAATACTTACAGGCCTAAGTCAATTACCAACAAGATGATTGGTACAAACTGCTATCAATGGCTGAATTCGCATACAATAATAGAAAGCAAGAAACGATTAGTACGACACTCTTCTTCATGAATTACGGACAACATCTACAAAGTCAGACCACATATCATACGATTAATGGTATAATACCGGACAAAACAGATATGGGAAAACTACACGAGACATTACAATACGAAATGAGTCAAGCACAACAATGGCAAAAAGAACAATATGATAAACACCGAAGACCAGATCCGTACATACAACTGGGAGATATGGTATGCCTAATACCATGCAATATCCATACGACACGACCATCAAAGAAATTGGACTACAAGAAAATTGGACCATTCAGGATACTGGAAAGGGTGGGCAGCCAAGCTTATAAACTCGACTTTCCACCCTCAATGCGAATACACAACACATTCCACATCTCATCCCTCGAATTACACAACAACAATAAGTTTCCCTCATGAACAATTATTCCTCCTCCTCCGATCAAACTCAATGGAGAACCAGAATACGAGCTCGACAAAATAGTCGATTCTCGCTTCTTCCACAGTCACCTCCAATACCAAGCCAAGTGGATGGGATATTCACCCGAACACCATAATACTTGGTACTTCGCACACAACTTTGAACATGCACAAGATGCCATCTCAACCTTCCACCAGCGATACCCAGGCAAGCCCGGCCAAGGTAATGATCACGTTCAACCAAGACAAAGGCGAGGGAAAGGCTCCCACGCCATTGCAACAACATGAGAGCTGGGGTGATAGCCCCCGCCAAACCACACCGACCAGCCCCAAATACTCATTCATGGGGCCGACCGACGAAGAACTCAGGGAAAGGAAAAAACAAGCACAGTATAACGCCATGTCATAGACGGTATGCTACAACAATGGATGTTCCACACACTACGGGGACAAGGAAGGCTCAGGATGGTTCCCGAGAGAATACAAAAAGTTCGGTCCATGCCCGGACCATGCCCTAAAGCACTGGAAACAGTACTTCAACAACATGTGCAAGATGCACAGGATGAAGAAAATCTCTGCGGGATACTATCCGCAGAAGGATGGGACAAAGAAAGAGTTAGAAGGAAAAGATGTCACGGTATGGCAGAGAGCTAGGGCCTCAAGGATGAGGCCCAGGGAGAGGAGAGCCCAAAACTCATCGACGGAAATGGAACCGGACGCCAGGAGCCTATACAGGCAAATCCGAGGACTCCGGGAACAACCTGGTCAGGCCGAAGCCACAATTTCAGCAAACGACAAAACGATCGCAGAGCTACGACAGATGAACAATGCTCAGAGGCATACAATCAAGATGGCAAACCTCACCTTGGAAATGGTGAGGGTAAGATAGAGGAAAGCAGACGACAAGTTCAATAAGCTTCAGAGGTCTATATGCTTGGCAGGACAGGAACTATTGAAGCTTGGGAAAAGAGTCTGATGGGACTCAGGCTTAGGAGGAGAGGAGCTAATGTCATGAATGTGGCTTGGTGAGGAAAAGGTTTTCATGTGACACATGGTTATGAGTCACAGGTATGTTATTGTTTCACATATATGACTCATTCAAGTCATATGATTTGTTATGTGTGAGATTTGTGATGCTTTTGCACATGGCTCAAATATGAGTCATGGGACGTGCGCCTAATGAGTATGCCTTGTGAGTGTGCCTTGCGGGTATGCCTTGCACATATGATTTATGTTTCGTACATGACCTTGTTATGAGATCATAGGTTTCACGCATATGACTCAGTCGAGTCATATGATTTGTTTATTGTGTTATGATTGGTTTATGAGTTTTTGCACATGACCTCACTATGAGGTCATGGGTTTTGAGCATGTGACCACTTTGGTCACATGACTAGTTTGTTATGATTTGGTTTTGCACATGTGACTACTTTGGGTCACATGACTATTGGCGGGAAGAATACTATATAAGGAGGCCGATGCAGCCGAGGAGGATAGGTTCTTCACGCTTTGTTCTAAGTACTTTTCCTACTTATTACTTTAATGAATATAAAACACCTTTACGATCTTTATTTTTATTGCAACATTATCATTACACCAAGGAAAGTTCTACACGAAGAAGAGTTAGAGAAAGCTTACGATAGGCATTCCCAATAGAAGACAAAGGTCTTGTACTATCGGTAACGTAGGCAGAGGCCTAGTGCTATCGTAAGACTAAGGAAAGAAATAGAAGAAGAAAAGTATCGTTCCCCGTCGCCAAGAACTAACTATCCAAGGAGGGATCGTTACATCTTGTCAATAGTGATCTTGCCAAGACCAATATTTGCCTTTTGGGTAAGTTCATATAGCGCTAATTGAGGCTCGGCATCAATAATAGCCTCTACTGCTCTTCTTTTAGTATCAGTAATCTTGCTGGGTTGGCCTTACTTGGAAGTATAATGGGTATCTCCACCTCTTGTCTTGGCTTTAGTACTTACCTTTTGAACAGTAGCCTTGCAGACCCCAATAGCCTTTGCTATTTTATTATACCCCATATCTGTATGCTTATACAGGGCATAAATTTCCTTATTACAATCTTCTGTTGCTCAGGTAGAGTGAGGGGGAGCCATAGTCACTAGTGGGATGAGGGGGTGATGGTGTTGCATGGTTGCTGGGCAGGGATATAATTATTAAACGGACACGACTGTACTTGTTCGTTAGATTATCCACTCTTCTCTCTTCCCTTCAGTTCCATTTCCGTGTTTTACCCGGATCTTCCGTGCTATTAGTTGAACTCTTCCGCTCGGCTTTGCTGATATTGTGTGGTCTCCCACGTTCCTTTGAAATCGCTGCCACATTTAGACTAGTCTAAAGGTTTCTATGATAGCATTCCACTCAACGAGCTAGTTACTCATTGGGACTGGCAGGCCTACCCCACCACTTAAACATTTCGCGCTCAAAAACCCCTATCTTATTCATTGTGCTGCGGTGGAGGGTCATCGTGGCCTAATAAGATTAATTCTTGGTGCCGGAGTTGAAATTGATAGTCAGACTCCCGATCACCGTACCCCTCTTCAGGCTGCTGTTTGGGGTGGAAAGGCTCGGAGCTATAATATATCTGCTCTACAGAGGAGCAGGTTTTAAACCACACCAAACCTGGTATGATACAGAGCCTTTCTCCACCACGTTGTCTTCCCTCTTGAGGAGGACATAGACGGGTACACCTCTTCTCTAGAACGCCCACTGGGGTACAAGTGCAAAGATTACGCAAATGCTCTTGGAAGATGCTGCCAATCCGAATAATGGGTGTAAATGGAGCAAAATTTCTCCTCAAATTGCTGTTGATGCTCGGAAGTACGCAACAGCACGTCAACCGATCACAGTTGGCATGGATCTATCTCACCGCCACGGAAATCTTTTCGAGAACACCGCTTCACTATTCGACCCGAAGTGGGCATGAGCGCCTTGTCCGCAGCTTACTTCCTCGTTACTGGACGTCTTATTGATGTTGGCGATTTATGGGGCAAACCCGCTCTATATAAAGCAGCAGAGCAGGGCCATAAGCATATCATGGGTGTCTGGCTAGCTTGGGCAGCGGAGGTTGATATACTTGACTGCCGGAATAGGACCCCCTTCAAGGCGGCAGAGGGTCCGGGATGGCCAAGAATCAGCAGGTTGTTATTGCGGACGCCAAGGTGCGATACACGGAACATGATGAACGCAAGTTTAAGAAGTTTGCGAAAAAAAACTCTCTGGAGGGAAGTGAACCAATTCTAAGACCACGATATTTTTATACCAGGTAAGTTGATGATTTAACGACGAATACGCCTACGGGTTGACTCTACTCCACGGGCTCAGCAGGGGTGATTCTCGATTATTGCAGTTCTTGCCTTTCCCTTTCATTTTTTATCTTTCTATAGGGGTCCCGATATCTCTTGTGGCATATACTTATCGATATTCCTTCCTTCCTCTTGATTAGGCGGAAATATTCAGGCAGAATGTTTAATTTATAATCGATGACTCGGTCACTCGACGATTCCATGCATCCCTCCAGTGCTCCCTATTCGTAGTTACCGTATCCCGTAGCTATGACAGCTACAGATATTATGCACTGTACAGATTGAACCCTCGAACCTACCGCGGCAATACCCTCACCCCCTACAGCAATCTGTGCGTGCTGATTTCTCACCTTTTCTGCGCGGTTAATAACCCGGGTTAATCCCAGATCTCTACCAAAAGTACTCTTATGATAATATGATGGTATCGCCGGGGAGCTCCTGCTGTGATCTCACCAGTATGATAGAAAGCATCTACAGTACTGTACACGATCGCCACACTCGAATTTTCCTTACGATAAACCTCGGAACATTCCAGAAAACAAATATCGTACAGAATGAGGGATGGATTATCCACTCCCAGCCCCTAGGTCCTCCCCTTAGACTGGGGAGGAATAATCGGCGGGTTTCCTCAGGAATGACGTTACGACTATCAGTCCAATCAGCCGATCCAATCCGCATTTAAGCAGAGACATCCGCGATCTGTGCAGAGGATTTAGTACATTGTACTGTACCAAGTTATTACCCCCGTAAACTCCCCCAAACCCTGAAGAAGAAAATAACAAGTATCATAAGTTGTCCGAGTCCACTCCGTTCAGGACGATTGCCCATTCCCTTCCCCCAGTCACCGAGAGAACACCTTTTGTATGACAGCAATGATTTCGCGGCTCAGTTGGTGCAAAAAAGTGAAAAGGTTCACCTCGCCGAGCGACGGTAATATCGCAATTCCCCCTCCCTTGGTCCGACGGTGTTTTCACTAAGGGTGTATATATCCGGCGACCAAATGCGCTGCCGCGTACGATATCATACTTTGTGAATGGGGGGTCCTTCCCGTTGGGTTATGGTACTTGTATGTTCTTGGTCGCTGGGGTTGGGCGTGTGGATTTGCAATGTAGCTAGCTATCATAGTTATGAGGATTTTCAAAAGGCGTGGTTACTGGGGGGATGTAGGCGTCTACCAGGTATTTTTCGCTATATGTGCGCTTAGTTGGGGGGGGGGGTTTCGGCTCAGAAAGCAGGTCTAAGCAGTTTCGGCTGGATGGAAGGGTCTTCGGAGCAAGGCTACACAAACATCGCCAACTGGGATCGGGGAGGTTGATATGATAACAAACTGATGAAGGGGAGAACCCCTCGGCCAAATGGCATGTTTCTACTCGGTGGCATAGAATACAGTATTTGGTAAACACCCTGTGGCTCTGGAGGCCATTGTCATACGCTAGATGTCCGGATGTCAATGATTACTGTTGCGGTTTCTCCATCGGGAAGTCGATTGGCGTCAAACGCGGCGGGTGGAACTACCTAAATACACATTTCCGGGCGCAGCTTATAAGGGCTAGTGTAGGTAGAATTTCCCCCAATTCTTGAGGCCATTCTTGTGAAGATCCGCGATACTAAGCTAACACGATTCCGCGCCGGGGGGTTCAACCATTTAACGATCTAAAAGCTCCGGCAATTGGAATACGCATCCCATAGGCACCAACTATTTATTCCATGACCCTTGCCGCCGTCCCGTCATCCATATCGGTGACCATGGCCTGCTGTTTTGCACGCCGTCTGGCATCCAGAAAGGTAATCTAAGTTACCGCATCCTAAGTCAGCAGACACGAAAAGCCAATAGCTAGACCCAGACAAAAGAGGACAACTCACGAATTCAGAATACGTAATGGGCATAACCTCCAACTCCCTTTCCACAAAGAACGTATAATTGAATACCCCCGCCCCAGTGAAAGACCCATGGGCAACATCCCTCACCGAGCTCTGAACTGAAACCTGAACCCTTGACCCCCCTTTCCGATGCTCGGTGTACCCTACTGTAGCCTTCAGATACAATATACTCCCTACAGGGACCGGCGCGTCAAATGTGCTCGGTTCTAGCGAGAGGAAGGTAGGCCGGCAATGGGCAAACGCGGAGCAGCAGCAGAAAGCCAGCTCCATGGTCTCTTTCAAAAGGTAACCGCCGAAGATCATGAAAGAGTGGCGGTTGCGGTGTTGCGGCTGCATGATTGCAGTGCTGGAGATGCTGGTTTCAGACATGTATATTGTCGTCTCGGGCTTTGGAAGGGGGTTCTCGAGGTCTGTGTATTGGAGGTGGGTTAGGTACGTCTTATGGATTAGGAGTGATTCTTCCAGTGTTGGTGCTTGGGTTGTTAGGGAGGCCCTCGTGATGGCTTTTTTAGCCGTCTTGTTGGCTAGTCAAGTCAAGTCAATATCGCTCTCCCCCACAGATCAGGCCAAGGTAATGGAGGCGAATACCTTCCCCACGACGGAATATGGCTTTCTCCTCTAGTGTCTCGGCTATCAACGAGCTTACTTGGGTAGGTCTATCAATGTAACAGCTTTAGAACTCTTTCTGCCTGGTATTGCAAACCTACTTTTTAGTCTCCGGGTTTAGAGCAACCATCGTGAATGCGCAAGATAACAATAACCCGCCATCCCCCGGGTGTCCAGCTTTTCTAGCCTCGATCGAAACTTCCATGGAAGAATTTCCAACAAAAAAAACGAACCCGCTAAGCTCAAGGTCACAGAAATCTTCCAACGGGTTGATGATAGATATCCTATCCACCGCAGCGGTCACATTTGCTGTGCCAGGTCCAGTATGCTTATAGGAGACCAAGCCTGCGAGCGCATCAAGGTCTTGGAACAAGCTGCCGAGTCGCAGCTGTCCGCTGGCATCTACATATGAATCCACAAGCCATTCGTCTTTGGAGAGTGGAAGTACCTTTACACAAAATATGTTAGTTAGCCCAATTGCCCCTATTTGGTGATGGTTTGATCAATACTATCTTATGATAACTGTCCATCATCCTCTTAGGAGATAGCTTCTCTATCAGGTCTGTCGTGGGGGTAGGCTTCACCCCGGCTTCGCGCTCTGCCAGCGCCTGAAGCCAGGTCTTCCGAAGCTTTGTTGCAGAAAGACCCTTATACAAGCCATCGTATCGGTATCCCGGGAGGCAGCTGGAATTCCGCTGTGCGGGGCGGAATACACGTGCCGGGAAAGCACGGAGGAAGCGCCTCGTCAACACTGCTCACGACATAACGTGATTACCTAGGGGTATCGAAAATGTGGGGAAATCCCTCGGGGGGTAACTTTAGTGTCGGGGCTAGGAATAACGATTATCCGGAGATCTCTCGCTACTCCGCCCCCACGATCGAGGCCCGGGAAACAACGACCCCCATTCAAGCCTTACCGAACACAGACACATAGATTTCTTTGATGGGGTTGCTCTAATGCCTAGCCAACCTTTTTGTCCTGCGTGATATTGCTGCCTTGAATTTAAGGTTTTCTTATTTCCATTTTTACTCGTACTGCCCCGTTTTTCCTTGCTTATGCAGAGTAAGCTATGCATATGGCGGCTCTAGTCCTATCGCCCGTGATATCTTACTACCGCAGACTCCACGCCATCGCAGGGCTCAGGGCATTGCCATGGCGCTCCATGCGAAAGGAATCCCGTTTGTGCTCGTACCGGCACCGCACAGGACTTTCACAACCCATAAGTTACAGTCAGCCTGTCAAAGGCAATGAATGACTCTCCCTATCAGCTGATTCGGCGGGGCTATACCGGTGTCCCTCTACTACCGATATTCCAGCTCTTTTCCTCTTAGTGCTGCGTGCGACGTATTCTGCCGGTACAGTAGACTCACCCGCTCCGCTCACCCCCCGTTGGAGATGGTGCATTAAATAGACTAACTTTTTGCTCGATTCCTTGGTTTCACAAAATGCTCTGCCACGATGCACATGGCAAACGGTATCCCTGTGCATCCGAATGACAGGAAATCATGGAAAAAAGAAAAAGAGTAAGGAAAAGAAAAGAATAAAAAAAAGAGCTCAATGCACAAGACTGTCACCCACCATGGGTGGCCCCCAGTACGGCAGTCAAACATAAGACACTCGTACTCCACAAAAAGCCTCTGCTATGACCACCACCGCCACGACTCGTTATCTGCCGGTATTATATCCTCGTCCCGTTTCACAACCATGTGCATTAACAGTTGATTGAATCTTTGCTCCGTATATATCGAAATGTTGAACTCAGTCTCTGCCAAAATGATGCCATCAACCAAGCAGGCAAGGGGGAGGAGGTACGATAAAGGAAGAAGGGAAGGAGGGAAGGAGGAAGAAGGGTGGAGAGTGTGGTAGCATCCGGACACAAATCCATGCTTATACATGGTTTTTCGGGAGCGGTGCACTTGTACAAGTACAATACAGTGCAGATAGGTATACGAGTACTGTACTCTACCGCACCTGACACGTTTCAGTCCAGTCCTGCTACCAGTCCCTTACAAGTACCGTACTCGCCCAGCCAGGATCGTAGACTACCTTTTGTCCTACCACCAGACCAAGCGTGATTAAATACCAGTAGGCCAAACCCTGAAGGAACTCATGAGCTCTACTGTACGTGTATCGTATCGTGGCTCCGCTATAATCCCCCCACAATAACAGCGAAGAAAGATGGTCAGTGATCACGGGAAGAGGGGAGAGGAGAGGGAGAGTCTTAACATGTTTACTAGGATCAGGATAGATCTCAATAGCCTAACGTCCGCATAGAAAAACAATTAACCTTTCCCACTCAAAACACACATTATTCATTCCTTTTCTTTTTCCTTCCCCCCCCCCCCTTCTCCCTCAATCAAAAGATTCGAAACTGGGCCTTAATTCTCGAGGGAAATAAATGCACGTGGGAATTTTGAATTGCTTTTTTATCCCGTTTGCGGGCTTTCGGAATGAATAGTAACTTGTATTTATCATAAGTAAAAGTTTTTATGTTGAGTGGGGGGTGGTTTTTCCTTTTTTAGTTATATAGCGGGAATTCGGTGGACATCTGCAGGAGGGGTTTTTGTTTTTGTTTTGTTTTTTCATATTCCTTTCCCTTTCTCCCGACACATGCCACGCTGGTTTCGGAGTTAATACTCAGCGTATTACAGTAAGATACTTGGATTGGATTAAAATGATTGTCCCCCAGATGATGGTGTATTGTGTGTGTTCGAGTACGCCTTGAGGCTGATGAGTAAGTTGTGAGGAAACCGAAAGGTTTGGTTGTGATTGCCATGAATGAATCACTGCGCTGTAGTGGAGGTATAGTGCAAGTACCATTTAGTCTAGGGAAGAACAGTGCTGACACCAACTGAATATTCCATCGGAAAAAAGAGTGTAAAAGTGTGCTCTATTATGAACCCAACAACACCCCGTGAAACTGTAATATCCATCATATCCGCATTTAGATAGAGCCCTGTTAGGGAGAGAGTCGGAGGATTTTTCCAGTCCATCCACGATAAAGTTCACCTTTCGTGATGTACTGTACTTCACTTCGTGATCTGTTCATCCCAAGATTAAATAAATATTTCCACAGAATTTCAATTTTCAACCCCACCTTCACCCATTTTGTTTTCGTTTCTTTTTGTTTTGTTTTTCTTCTCCCCCAATCTTCTCGGCATCTTCGAATCCCAACTCAATCGTGAGTGGCCAGCTAGAGAGAGAGTCTAAGGGATGGGGTTCTACAGCGCTGTACTGTACATTACTAATAACCACACAACAGATTGATGCGATGCACGGCATCGATGTTCAAAGCACTCCATCCACTCGACGCTTCATGTTTGATCGTCCCCATGGGCCCCCCCCCCTCCAACACCTCATCCCCCCCCCGCAACGGTTGACAGCAAGGCAGAAGAAGGCCAAGATCGATTATTATAAGTCATTCATTCCCCGCAATCTGAACGATTGAAATCACCGTGAAACATAGCCCCGCATGAGGTCCCGTTTCTTTTCTTTCTTTCTTTCTTTCCTTTTCCGTTTCAACGGTATGGAAGAGAATAAGGGGAACGTGGCAAAAAAGGAAAGGAAAGGAAAAGGAAGAAAGGAAGGAAGTAAGGAAGGAAGGAAGCAAGGAAGGGAAGGGGTAAGATCACATTCACTGATTGACTGCCATGAATAAGCACTCCTTCTTCTCCTCCTTCCCATCAAGCACAACGGTAATGTGGAAACGCCCCTTCACCGTCCTTGGTGGAAACACAAAAGACCCACTTCTTAATAATAATACACGCCTTATCCCATTAATACTATACACTCTTCAGCAAGGGGGGATCTGCAAATAAAAAAACTCGGAATGTAGTACAGTATGTACAAGTACAGGAGGTGACGAAGCTTATTATTGTACGAGACCATAACCCGCACGATATACGTACGATACAAGCACGGTGGTTTGAAATCCTCCTGGGTGAATGTCAGATAGACTAGCGACTGCAGGTATCACTACCGTAGTAACTGAAGTAAAGCAAATTGAGCATCAGCAAAAGGACGTCCGCCACAAGGACCCCTCGAAAAAGAAGGGAAAAAATTGACTTTCAGGCATCCGCTGAGGCAAATAAACCAAAAAAAAATAAAAAAATATGTAAACATACCTTACTAGGAGAGGCAACTCCAACGTCCCCCTAACGTGAGCTTCATTTCTCACAAGTACGACAATACCCACATTCCCATCTCCATCAATCAATCATTCGCCGCGGGACCAAAAGATAAACCAACCACCATATCATACCAACGAGTACGATAGCACTAGCCATTCCACCGGAAAGCATATATCCAACGAAAAAGAATTCCCCGTCAGATTTTACCCCAGTTAGATTCGTCAGATTCGTCAGATCCTCACAATTAAAATCGGCTTTTAAGAGTCGTAAGCTCGGGCTTAGCAGCTAAATGATTTGAAATCAAAAAGTTTTTTACAGCGT